AAAAAAAAAAAAAAAAAAGCCAGGCATGGTGGCACATACCTGTAATCCTAGCACTTTGGGAGGCTGAGGCAGGTGGATCACGAGGTCGAGATGGAGACCATCCTGGTCAACATGGTGAAACCCCGTCTCTACTAAAAATACAAAAATTAGCTGGGCATGGTGCACACGCCTGTAGTCCCAGCTACTTGAGAGGCTGAGGCAGGAGAATTGCTTGAACTCAGGAGGCAGAGGCTGCGGTGAGCGGAGATTGCACCATTGCACTCCAGTCTGGGTAACAAGAGTGAAACTCTGTCTCAAAAAAAAAAAAAACCCTCTGTTGAAACTGCCTTCCCATCCTGCCTGCAGGGATGGCAGGAGGACGAATGCTTGTAGTGGGCTTACTACTCCTACCGCCACCATCCCTAGAAGTGAAATGAGAAACCCATCTGAACCTCATGGCAGCCCCACTATCTCCACTGTACAGCTGAGGAAGCCCAGGCTGAGGAGATGCCACAGAGCTGCAGGGACAGCACGGCCAGCACAGCCAGCGCCCTCAAGTCTCTTGGACTAGGAAGGGCCTTACTTCAAACAGAACCCCTGTAGGTGTCACCCTCAGACCAATCCCCCAGGGCTGATTCCCACAGGGGCAGGGCTTCTGGTGCTTTTCCTGAGAAAAGCAAGGACCAAGCAAGGGCTCTGCAGAGTTCCCAGATTCCACAGCCTCCTGTAGGCCACAGCTTCACTGGCTCCCAGCTGGGCACTCTGATTCGCCAACTAGTAGGGCTCCGGCTTGGTTTCCCTGAATCTGAGCAGGGTGGGTGGGGCTGCCCCATGGCTATGAAATGGGGTCCTTGCAGAGGGCCATCATGGGGACCCAGTGCCTTTCCTTCTGTTCCAGGGGCAGGTCCCGACCCCTCCTGCCTTCACTCACGCTTTTTTCTGCTCAGACTTCTCCTTGGGAGCTGCCTGCACCTCTGGCTGCCGGGTGGCCTGGTTCTTGCTGAGGAACAGCACGTGCTGGGCCTCCTGCTGCATGCGCTGGATGTAGGCCCCATCGGACTCCCCCTTTCTCTGCTTGAACTTGGGGATGGCGATGTCAGGCTCCACTCCCCTTGCTTCCTTCTCCAATGTCTTCCTGAAGGCCACCTGGGCTGAGGACAAAGGGAGGCCTCAGAGGAGGCAGGAAGTAGACAGTGGCAGGCAGGTGGCCACACTCATTTCCCCTCCCAAAGCCACAGGAAGGGGAGACCAGGGTCAGCGAGAAGCGGCCCAACAATGACAGCTGAAGAGGATCTGGAATGCCCAGCCCAGGCATCACCAGGCACACGATCCCCACAGCCCAGAGGCACCTGTCACAGATGTCCACTACAGGACAACTGAAAAAGGAAAGCAGCAACCGCCTAAATGTCTGCCCCTAGGTGGCTGGTTGAATGAATTCTCTATCACCTACAGACTCCACTGCACGGCTGCTGAAGGAAGCCCAGCAGAGCTACACGGAGAAACGTGGGCAGACCCACGACATCACTGTGAACATGAGCGCAAGACCCAAGTGGGAGTAGAACACAGGAGGCGGACAGTGCCAGGCAGGTGGCTGTGTTCACAGACATGTGACGACACGAGTACTGCTGAGCATGGTGGCTCACACCTGTAATGCCAGCACTTTGGGAAGCTGAGGCAAGTGGATCACTTGAGGTCAGAGTTCAAAACCAGACTGACCAATGTGGCAAAAGCGAGCCTCTACTAAAAATACAAAAACTAGCTTGGCGTGGCAGCACAGGCCTGTAATCTCAGCTACTTGGGAGGCTGAGGCACAAGATTTGCTTGAACCTGGGAGGTGAAGGTTGCAGTGAGCCAAGATTCTGTCTCCCAAAGAAAAGAAAAGAAAAGGCCAGCTAGGCACGGTGAGTCACGCCTATAATCCCAGCACTTTGGGAGGCCGAGGTGGGCAGATCACCTGAGGTTAGGAGATCGAGACCAACCTGGCCAACATGGTGAAACTCTGTCTCTACTAAAAACACAAAAATTAGCCAGGTGTAGTGGTGGGCACCTGTAATCCCAGCTGCTTGGGAGGCTGAGATAGGAGAATCACTTGAACCCGGGAAGCGGAGGTTGCAGTGAGCCAAGATTGTGCCACTGCACTCAAGCCTGGGCAACACAGATGGAAACTGCGTCTCAAAAAAAAAGAAAGAAAAGGCCAGGCACAGTGGCTCACACCTGTAATCATAGCACTTCAGGAGGCTGAGGTAGGAAAATCACTAAAACACTTGAGTTCAGAAGTTCAAAACCAGCCTGGCCAACATGATGAAACCCTGTTACTAAAAACGCAAAAAAAATTAGCCGGGCATGGTGGTGCGCACCTGTAATCCCAGATACTCAGGCAACTGAGGCAGGAGAATTGCTTAAACCCGGGAGGCAGAGGTGCAGTGAGCCAAGATCGTGCCACTGCACTCTAGCCTGGGTGACAAAGCAAGACTCCATCTAAAAAAATAAATAAATACACAAAAAAAGGTATCAATTCAATGCAGCATGGTTCAGAATGTGCCATCCACCAGCCAGGCCAGTGCGCCTCCTTCCCACAGCCTCCTCACCTCTATCTCGCCATCCCCTTGGCAGCCATACAACCCCCAATGAGAAGCCTACCATCTATACACAAGTTATAACAGCTTTGCTATAAAATCAGTCCCACATTTGGGAAAATAAATGTGTCTGTATATAAAATATACACACACTGGACACCGCTCCCCAAAGTGCCCAGAGTGTTACCTCTGCGTTGCAGCAGTGCACATGTGGGCATCCTACCCAGACTTGGGGGAGAAAGGCTGACTTCTCAGAGGGGCCTGCCTGATGGAATTTCCTCCTTCAGCTCCTGACTCCACCCGCATCTATCTACCATGGCTTCAGCACTCTTGTCCCAGGAATCATGGCTTCTCCCTGGCAGTAGCCCCCCAGCTGCCAGGTCCACTCTCACTCACTCCATCGTCACTCAGTGATCTTTTTTTTGAGTCGGAGTTTCGCCCGTTACCCAGGCTGGAGTGCAATGGCGCCATCTCGGCTCACCGCAACCTCCGCCTCCTGGGTCCAGGCAATTCTCCTGCCTCAGCCTCCTGAGTAGCTGGGATTACAGGCACGCGCCACCATGCCCAGCTAATGTTTTGTATTTTTAGTAGAGACGGGGTTTCACCATGTTGACCAGGATGGTCTCGATCTCTTGACCTCGTGATCCACCCGCCTCGGCCTCCCAAAGTGCTGGGATTACAGGCGTGAGCCACCGCGCCCGGCCTACTCAGTGATCTTTTATTGCTTAAGGTAAACATGAATTGGCCGTGCTCTACTAAAAACTCTGATGGATCTTCGCTACTTTTGGGAGGGAAAAAACGACACTCCTTAGCATGGCTCCTGAGGTCCCATAACAGATCCTCCCCGCCCACCGCACAGCCTCCTTCCAAGCCTCCTCTGGAACTGCAGTGCCACCCGCTGCTTTCGCTTTGGCCACGCTCCCCCACCATCTGAGCACTAGGTCTTGGCATACTTCCTCTGCCTGAAACGTTCTGAAATATTTGTGTGATGGAGGGGTTGAGACACCCAAAGCTTCACTGCCACCCAGCATGGGCCTGCACACACCCGCTTTCTTCCTTTTCTTGTTACTGATCGGGTTTTTCATCTCCTGGCGGCTCCTCATAATCTCCCGGAGCCGGAAAGGGATCTCCTGTTCGTCCTGGTTCTTAGGTTTGCAATTCACTTTCTTCTTCTCTTTGCTGGGAAGAACAACACGGGGGTAAGAGGCATCCCAAATAAAGCATAAGCAGAATAAGAGAAACGGAAGTTGGGTCTGGCAATAGAATCTGCAGGGGCCGCACCTGGCTGCTGCGGTGCGAGCCACTCCAGGGAACAAGGATCTTTCCTCTCGGTCTCACCCAGTGGCTGTCCCTGAACAAACGCGCTTCTTCACGGGACAGGAGGCAGAAAGGCGCTCCGAAAGCCCGCGAGGCCCGTCCGCCCAGACCTAGTCCAGAACCACAAGGACTGGACGCCGGGGCGCGGGAAAAGCAAAACCAGGGACTCGCTCGCGCCTCCATTCATTCAACCGATCCTGGCGGAGCGTGGGCCGCGGGCACAGAGGAGGGCACCGAAGGGGTCGGAGCGAACGCTCCCTAGGGGATCCCGAGAGGAGCCTTCAAGCCGTCCCCTTCTCCGGGGAAGTGCAGCGGCCTCGCGGGGCAGCGCACTCACCTGCGAAGCCCGGGCCACGGGGCTGTGCGCTGCTTCCCCAGCGGCTGCACTTGCTGCCGCCGCCGCGCCCGCCGAGAACTCTCAGGACCCTCCGGCGCCCTGGGTATCGCTACTCTGCGTCCAGCTCCCGCCATCTCCACGCCAGGACCTTCCCTGGCGAAGCCACTTCCGCCTTCCTTCAGGGTTCCGCCCCCACGATCGACACTTCCGCTTCCTGCGCTTGCCCCACGCTGGCTGGAGCGCCGCGACTGTCTGCAGGTCTGGGATTGGCCGGAGCAGCTGTCGCTCACGGCCGGGTTCCGGAACCTGGTCCGCGGGCGATGCTGCTGCGGAGCGTGGCGGGGGGATGCTGGGCGGCCGCGGTCGCGGCCCGTGGATCGGCAAGTACCTGGAGGGGTCTGGGCAGCGCTGAAGGGCACGTCCGAGAGGCCACTGTCCCGGGGCCCGCGCGTGCCGGGAGGACCGCGCGCTGGCCGCCCGCCGGAGGGGTCCTCGCCCCTCTCCTCCATCCACTTCGCAGAGCCTCCGCTCCCGAATCTGCGGAGGGGCCCTTAGCCCCGGGAGGGGAAGCAGCCGGGTGAACGGCCACGTTGCTGTTCCTCGGTATCTGCCGAGCGCCCACTGTGTGCGGCTCTCCTAGGCTGTGGGGACTGGCCGTGGACAAGGAGCTGATGCTCCTCGCAGGGTTAGAGAAATAAATGAAGTGGGTAGCGTGTCGGGCGGTGATCCCGGGTAGATAGAGCGGGGGAGGGAGGGAAGGCTGCCTATAGGACCTTCACGCTGGGATGAGAGGGACCTCAGAGGCCTGAGCTTTGTGACAGGGAAACTCGGATAAAGGGTGGTGCCATTCTTCCGGGTGGTCCCTCAGAGGAGGGTGGCGGGGCTTGGCTATACTGGTAGAGAGATGGTGCGCTGGCCAGGAGCCTACAGGGTTACCGCTTCCCCCTACTCCTGTCCACAGAGCAGCCGTCTTAGCTGCAGGTGGCAAGCGCCTCCCGACCCACCCACCATCTGCTGGAGTGCACGCCCGGCGCCAGGCCCTGATCCCCACACTTCTTGTGAATCAGTCACACCGTGTCATACTCCTAACTTCCATTTCACAATGGGGAAGCTGAATCTAGGGAGGTGAAATAATATGTCTAAAGTCGCAGGAAGTGAAAAGCTGAGAAGGGCATGCAGCCACTTGCCCAATGACGTGAGAGCTGCCATGTCCCCAGAGCTGGGGGTAGACAAGGCCTCACCAGCTTCCTGGAGAATCACATGTTTGTCTGCATCCTCAGGGGGCTCGCCGGCTCTCCAGCCAGGACTGCTGCCAGAGACTTCCTGGAGGCGGCAGCTTTCTTCAAAGGCACCATCCCAGAGCACAAGCCCCTCATGGCCACAGAGAATTCGGGGCAGACCACACAGAGGTGGGCTCCCAAGCAGGTATGGATGGCACTGGGTCGCCTAAGGCTGAGCTGCCCAGCAGGGGCCCCTCAGAGCCCCAGGACCTTCTGCCACCCGAGCTTCAGCCACCCACAAACTGTTGCATGAGTGGCTGCCCCAACTGCGTGTGGGTGGAATACGCGGACAGGCTGCTGCAGCACTTCCAGGATGGTGGGGAGCGGGCCCTGGCTGCCCTGGAGGAACACGTGGCTGATGAGAACCTCAAGACCTTCCTCAGGATGGAGATCCAACTCCGCACCCAGTTCAGAGGTTGAGCCAGCCCTGCTAGACTCCCTCCCCTGGACAGAGTCCAGGAAGCAGCAGCAGCCTCCTCCCTTCACACCCCTCCGCAGACTCCTTGTGTCCAACGGGAATAGGAGGATTTATTTATTGACTTCTGAGAAAAAATAAATTCTTTGTGTTGGTTAGATGGGAGGCTTCTGTTTTGGGGGTGGTTTTTTTGTCCAGTTGTCCGTAAGGCCCGTGTCTTCAAAGCAAGCAGGTCCAGGTCGGCGTTGTCCATCTCCAGAGCCTTGCAGCCGTCACCCCCTGTGAGGGTAAAATAAGACCCCCGTTCCTTGAACATTCAAGTGACAGTGACTGCAGGTCCCAGCTTCCCCCAAGTCCTGGCAAAGGCCAGCTCGGGTTGCTGTTAGCATTGCAGCAGTGGGAGGGCCATCTGATCTGGAGTGGCTGTGGCAAAGCCTTTGGCAGGCACAGAAGCTCACAGGCAGCCTGGAAGTGCCTGCCTGTCCAGCGCCATCAGTCCCCTCCTGGGGTCCTCAGGGACCCTTCCACCAGTCTGGCAGAGGTGGCAAATCAGCCCTCAGTGGCCCAAGCACTACTTGGAAGCAGTCCTTCCAAATCCTTCAGCCACAGGTCCCAAAGGAGTTGGTAAGAGCGGCAGGACGTGTCTGGGTGTGGTGGCTCTCTCCTGTAATCCCAGCACTTTGGGAGGCCAAGGCAGGCAGATCACGAGGTCAGCTGTTTGAGACTATCCTGACCAACATGGGGAAACCCTGTTTCTACCAAAAATACAAAAGTTAACTGGGTGCGGTGGTGCAAGCCTGGAATCTCAGCTACTCAGAAAGCTGAGGCAGGAGAATTCCTTAAACTCAGTAGGTGGAGGTTGCAGTGAGCCAAGATCACGCCACTGCACTCTAGCCTGGGTGACACAGCAAGACTCTGTCTCAAAAAAAAAAGAATGGCAAGATACTAGCTCCAAAACCTGGAGCCACCATCTCTCCACCACTACAGCCGAGCCTCACCACCCTCCTCAGGGACCACCCAGATGCATTGCACCACCCTCTACTGTGTTTCCCTGTCACAGAGCCCAGGCTTATGGAAAGGCAGCCTGGCCTCTGGACCTTCGGCCTGGGGTAGGACTTTGTTTTAAGACCCTTCCTACCTGTTTTCCTGTTTTATCTCTTTAATTTTTTCCCCAACAGAGTCTTGCTCTGTTGCCAGGCTGGAGTGCAGTGCTGTGATCTTGACCCACTGCAGCCTCCGCCTCCTGGGTTCAAGTGATTCTCCTGCCCCAGGCTCTGGAATAGCTGGGACTCTTGGCGCATGACACCACGCCCAGCTAATTTTTGTATTTTTAGTAGAGACAGGGTTTCACCGTGTTGGCCAGGATGGTCTCGATCTCTTGAACTAGTGATCTGCTACCTCTCCCTGCCTAACTACACCTACATTTTAATAGAATTCAGGCCCCTCCCATAATCCTAGCCTTGTGGCTTTTTACTGGTTTTACAAAGGCAGTTTCCATCCCTGAGCAAAGATTAGTTTCAGGAAGGGAATGTTATCACCTTTGTCTTAGAGTTAAAGGCATGGCCAGGCTCAGTGGCACATGCCTGTAATTGCAGCAACTTTGGGAGGCCCATCAGGGAGGATGCCTTGAGTTTAGGAATTTGAGACCAGCCTGGGCAACATAGCAAGACCC